AATGGCACTGTACAATGCACAGAGGCTGAGAGACTGGAGTGGTGGGAGGGAGAGCCTAGGGGAAAGCCTAGCCACGGACTGTCCCGAGGCTGGAGAGCCTGGGCTCAGATGGCTCTCTAGACCAGGAACGTGGCAGGCAAGATCTTAATTGACTGAGTGGCTCTCTGGGTCTCCTTGGAAAATTACTTTGGGTGATTCTGACCCATGAGAGGGAGACGTCGAGGCATAAAAATCAGGATGGTGTCGTCATTCAAATGGGGGTTGGTGAAACCAAAAAAAATTCCTAAGAACAACACAAGCAGAGTCCTTTCACCTCCCAGGAGCCTCCCTGGGTACCAGCCTTCAACATCCCACCCCTGCATCTCACCATACAGGAGAAAAGCCAGGCAAGAGACAGGAAAGACAACCAACTATGCGAAAACCGCGCCTGGAGTCAAGGACCTAAAGCCACTAGCCCTTGGTGGTCCACTGGCCCCTCAGCAGAAGGGCCTGGCTGAAGCAGACCAGCAGTCTTTCTTCCCCATGCATTCTCAAAAGCAAGGTCAGATCCAAAGTCTCTGCACAATGCTACTGCCCCAGGATAAAGCCCATGATCCTTAGCCATGGCACATAAGGTATTTTCTATCTAGCCCCTGCCTACCTCATACTCTGTGTTCCATATCTTTTTACACCCTGTTCCTTCTGCCTGGAACATCTGCTTCTCACTATGTTCGCCTGGAACTCCTACCTCATCCTTCCAGATTCAGCATCATACCTCTTCTGTGAAGCTTTCCCCACCTCCTCAGGTATAGGAGGAAGTCCATCCTCTGGACCACCTCTGGGCCTGGCACACACCACGGATTGGTCCTTTTACACCACTCTCAGAAGTCATTTGCACAGATGCACCTATCTCCCCTCTAGACTGATCTCTTCATGGGCAGGGCCTCAAACCTGTGCTCCTAGAGCTCAGACCTGGGACTCGGTCAAAGCAAGGGGTGCTACATCACGGTATGTAGAACTAACGAATGAGTACACTGCTGTCTGACCAAAAGAAGTCAGCTGCAGGAGTAAACAAAGGCTGGCTGGCTGTGACCAGACAGTCCCCTCCACCACTGCCCCACCCAGCACCCCATCCAGTGCTCTAGCCCAGGCTTGCTGTTCTTGGGTAGAGCCACCCATCACATGAGAGGAGGCCTCTGCCGCTGGGATGATGTTACAGTCTATTTTGAGGGTCACACTGGAGCATCTGTCAGCCTGGCCAGCCACACCCTCTATGCATCATCACTAAGAGCCGGGGACACCCACAGGTCTGTGAGCTTTGCCCGAGAAAGTCACTCCTCCCGCAGACCCTCAGCTTCAGGGCCTCGTTGGCTTTCTGGCCAGATCACCCTGGATGCTCCCTATCTCCTGGCACCACTGGCAGGCTCTGATGTCTCCTCGCCCCACCAGACCTGTTCCCCAGGGTTCACAGCTCTGGTGACTCGGCAAAATGCAGCTGAAACCCATCAGTCTGCACTAAGCTCTTGGCTCAAACACAGCCCTTCCTCCTCAACTTACGCTTATATTTCAGGAGGGCCCAGAAAGCCCAGCACCCTGACATCGTGCTAGTTAACTGATCAGAGTCATTATGGGTCCACACAGGTCTTGTCTGCTGGGAAACTCCTACTCATCCCTCACAACCATGCCAGGCTCTGCCTCCTCGCACAGTGAGCCTTTCAGTCCACTCTCTGCTGGGTGGACCACAGCCTCCCTGAGGACAGGCCTACCTGTACTGGCTTTATCTCTGTTCTCTCTGCCCCTAGCATGAGAGGGTCTGCACAGAGTCTAGGTGTGAAGAAATATTCTATAAAATAAGACCTTTCTGATTAAACTAGCTTAGTGTGTTCTACAGAAGACACTGTCAGAACAAATGCCTTTCTGGAGAACAGTAACACTGACAACTGGATTCATAAACACCCTTTATAAACGAAGCCCATATTCAAATCTATAGAAAAACAAGTTTCAGTTCAATGGTAAGTTTCAGGTCAACGGGACGTAAGTCAATCAAACTCAGCCCAGAGCACGTCACGCTTCTCTGGCACTAAGCACCTTTCAGCTCTGTCCCCTAATACCGTGGTCCCCTAAGTATCCAACCAGATATTCCTTCACTCTAGGGAAGAAATGCAATGGCAGCCACAATGGGGAAAGGGCAGCAGCAGCATAGACACATGTGTCTGGGATCAATCAAGTACATATGACAAGTCAGGCTACTCCATGGCATACCCTACGCCCTGCAGCCAAGGGAAGTCACCAAACACCACAGCATCTCAGGGCTCACCCACAGAATAAGTACATTATCATGTGCTCCAGCCACTTCCCAGAGATGCCACAAGGATCAAACCAGACAACACAGGAAAGCTTCACAACCAATTAACACTTGGGTCATGGACTAAACTAGGTTGAGAAACGTATCTCTAACACTGATGGGGAAAAAGGAAACAAGCTGGCCAATGTCTGCCCTATAACTGCCCTTGGCCTCCTCAAAACCACACCTGGCACATTCCAACAGCTGGCTATATCACAGCCATGAGATGGCTTTTAGGAGTTCCATAAAGAAGCTATGAGGAGACATTCATACCCTTGCCATCTGACAACAGTCAACTGAAGCTGCCTACCACAGGCATACATGACCTGGAACCTTTTTAAAACTGAGGTTTCCAGGTCAGCTTTACAGCTACATTAATATAAAAATGCTAGGACTAGAAGCTGAGACTCTTGGTGACCACATGTGTGCACAGGAGAACTACACTCCATAGGGTGTTCAAGACTGTGACCTTTCAGAAGCAGATCACCAGGCCTTACTTTCAAGGCGCCTCTAGATGAGTTTGAACCACCAACGTTTCAGTTAGTATTCAAGCACGCATAGGGTTGCCAGAGTCAGAATCAACTCAACAGCAACTGATTAGAAGCTGGGAGAAGATGCCCAACTTTCTTTAGACGTGCAGGCAATATCTACAGCAAGGCAATCTGACAAAAATGCAGATTTTCCAGTAAGATACATTTAAAACTGAAATGTTAAGTCAGTTTAAGAAATCCAGGTCTCTGGGTTTGAACACTCCCCTTTGGAAAATTTACAGGACTAGAAAGAAAACAATCCATTTTTCTCCCTACAAGTTTAAGTAATGCCTCTTAGTGTCTTTGGCAATATGGAACTCCAGCACCAACCAACATTTGAATCTACGTGGTAACCATTTTTTAGGGTGTTTGTTTTGTTTTAAGAGGCCATTCTTATTCATACTAGCTCAAGCATACCAAATATACAGCATACGTGTTTTTATCAGATGGGGAAGGGAAAATGGGAGCTTTAAAGCCCTTCAATAACATAAATTCCTTATCTGGTGGTGCAATGGTTAAATGTTCTGTTAAGCTGCTAACTGAAAGGCTGGCGGTTCGAACCCACCCAGTGGCTCCATGAGAGAAAGACCAAGCAAATCTGCTTCTATAAAGATTACAGCCTAGAAAACCTTATAGGGCAGTTCTGCTCTGTCACATGGGGTTCCTATGAGTTGAAATTGACTGGACAGCACCTAACAACAACATCTGTAATGTATTAGATGTGGATAAAAGTGAAAGATGCAATAGATTCCCATTATCAGAATTTCAGAATCATAGCATTCTAGGATTAAAAGGCAGCTCAGATGCTTGCCTAGCTCCACACAGTGCAAAACAAGAAGAGTGAAGCCCCAAGACCTACCCAAAGCCACAGCCCTCCCAACCGGGGAAATGACGATGTCACTGTGAGGAAGCAGCCAAGATTCTGACTCTGGCAGTCCTGCCTCCAGCACAGCTCTTAGCCAGGCATTTTGCATGCACCACAAGGGGGACAGTCCCTAGGAGAGAGGAAGTATTTTGAATGCTAAAGAACACACACTCAGGGTTGGCACAAAGGTCACTGGTAGGGTTGGTAAACTTCCCACACTAGACCTAAGGGTTGATGAGGAAAGCCTTTCCAAGGCAGTAGCAATCATGTTATTTCATAACTTAAAACACCTGCTTTGTCACAATCACTGGAAAAAGGAGAGATTGGGAGAAGGAGAAGAAGAAAAAGAAAAAGAAAAATCTCCCCATAGTATTCCCTCTGATTTCCTATGTCTGTTTCCAAATCACATTGCCATCGAGTCTATTCCGACTCATAGCAGCCCTAAAGGACAGAGCAGAACTGCCCCACAGGGTTTCCAAGGCTGTGAATCTTTACAGAAGCAGACTGCCACATCTTTCTCCTGCGGAGTGACTGGGGGGTTCGAATCACCAAGCATTCGGTTAGTAGGTGAGCACTTAACCACTGTGCCACCACGGCTTCTCTGCGTCTGTTTAGGTCACCCTAAAATAGGGAGTCTCCCTAATGCTGACTTTAATGAGGATCTTCCGAAAGCTGGTCCAACTGGTGTTCAAGTCCCTGTATTGAAAAACAAGTTTATAAGCAGCAAGATCACCTGATTCTGACCATGTGCATGCTGTTTACCCTGAGATGACAGGCTAGAGGCTGCCACAGCTTTGATGAATGCTGCAAAGACTCTACTACCTCTTTGAAGTCTACTAGGGCCTCCACATGACTAAATGCCATAAAAAGGAACCTTGAACGTGGCAACGGTGTGAAAGGTGGGAAGTCACAGACACCATACTCTAGCTGGGGAAACCCCATTCTGATCACTGAATTGTTAAAGTAAACTTGTTACCTGTTTCCCTGACCTGTGAGGTATCTCATTACATCATCATTAAAAGGAAGTCCCCTCTCCACCCCTAATCCACCTACTTACTATCAAGGCCTACTTCATAGACCAGGCCATGGCCAGAGTCAAGAAACAGATGCAGCCCACCCCTGAATCCTCTGCAGCCCAGACCCATGACTACACACATAGGCGGCTACACAGATGTGGCTTAGCAGCTCACATTAGTTACAAGTGTTGACCAGGGGACCTCTAACTCTGACCACAGGGAACAGGTCAATGTTGGGGAAAAGAGAATGGCAATGAGGGGCTTACCCATCTCTTCCTTTGCTGACAATCTTCACCTCAAAGTAATAAATGCCACAGGCAGCAGGTATGGGGTGGGTGGCCCGCACTGAGGCTGCATCTTTGTGATTTTTGCCATGACCTAAGAGGAGAGAGCAAGGAAAAAATTTCAGCAGAAGGAAACGCAAATGGAAGACTTATTCTTCCCTAATCCATGGCAACTTCAGCAGAGCTCAAAAGCTCACACCTCCATGGCCAGAAGAATCCCTCACATGGTTCAAGGAATAATTAGACAACAGCTGAGCAACCATGTAAACCTCCCACCTTTGGCTCACCTCATCCTGAGAATAGTAGCCCTGACTGAGACACTGTCTCCCATACAGACAAAAATGAGGATACAAGCAGTGTATGTGCATGTCAAAGATTCCCCAGTGCTACTGGCAGTCTCTCCAGAATTCAGGCAACCCACCTAGGAGACCAGCGGGAAGAGGAGGCCGCCCTGGAAGAGCCTCACTTAAAGGTAAGCACAAAAGCCCAGGTCCAGTCTGGGATGTCTGGCAGGAGAGCAAGCCCATGGGCCTCTGGCTACTGATGACAATGTGACCATCCTTTTCTTCAGACACTCCTAAAACTAAGAAGTGGTGAAAGACCCAGCTGGAGCTGGTCAAGCAAGGAAGCCCTCGGGTAGAAGGTACAGCCCAGTACTGGGTCTGGACACCTGATGCAGTTCTCTGGCCTCGGGTTTCTCCAGGATAGAGAGGAGGCAGTCAACCCTCGGCCTGATCAGCCCGACCACCGTGGACACCCCTGACCTAAGGCCCAACCCGGAGCACCCGAGCCGGGGAAGGGATGTGATGGGACAGGAGCCGGACAGCACAGCCGTCCCGCAGACGCTCCAGCCTTTTCCTCCCGCGGCCAGGGTGGCCGATACCTTTGTAGTGGACGCGGAGGTTGCCCTGGGAGAGGCCGATGTAGTTGTACTTGTCCTTGGGGCTCCAGGAGCGCGGCAGCGGCGTCTCGTGCTGGTTGACCGCGGGGTACAGGCGCTGCAGGCGTCGGCTCAGCTCCTGCTCCCCCTGGGATGGCAGACTGCCGCCCGTGCCCCCGCCAGAGGAATCTGTAGCCTGCGGGTTCCCAGCTCCCGGGTCCGCCGTCGCCGCCGCCATCTTGGAGGGAGCTGCTATTGTGTCACTGGGGCGGGGAGGAGCGGGACCAGATCCGCCTCGCTCAGCCAATAGCCAACGAGCCTGCCGGGGCCGCAGGGAAACTGAGTCCGAGTCCGGCACCTCTCTTTGGACACGGCCACGCCTTGCCACATTTTAGACTTCATATCCCAAAATGCAGATCTTTCCAGGGACGGCCCAAGTCGAGCTGCTATGGAACTTTGGGAGATGTAGTCTAAACCTGCTGAAACATAAGTCTGTCCAATCGAGTTTTCGGAACACAGAAAACTACAATTCCCACAAGCAAAGTGACTCCGGCCTCTCAGTTCACCTCCCGCGCTCATGGCCTGTGGTGATCCCCCTGCCTCAGTTCTGGTAGCTAGGGTCAAATCCGCCGCAGTGACTAACTCTGAAGGAACCAGCTCCCGAACCCAAGTTCACCTTTGCTGTTTGGCCTTCCTCCCAGCCAGGGGATGCGGGCCTCGAGAGCGTGGTGCGCGCAGTCCTGACTCCGCCCCCACAGCTGGGCCGTTGCGGCCTGTCGCCATGGCGACGCGTTGTAAACTACTGCAGCTTCCCAGGCCGCGGGTGCTGGCTGCCCGACGACCGCCCGAGGCGTCATGGCTTCTTCGCAGCCGCAGTACTCCGGTTTTGCGTCCCTACCAAGGTAGGCGCCGTCCTGGCCGAGAGCAGAGAAAAGAACTTGAGTACTTCTGGAGAGGGAGGTGGCATCTAATCCCGACCTTTGCACTTCATGCTAGCCTCTGTCCAGTGGCCTGGGGCTCCAGCCCCACGGGAGCAGTGGTGCAGAAACAGAATCCGGGCTAATTTGTCAGCTTGGTGAGGATGTTACGTGCCAGCAAAAGGGCAGGGAAAGTTTAGTGCAACAGCCATCTTGTTTCGAGCATATATTATGTGCTACGTGCTTTATATACCACATTTAACTCTCGCAATAACCCTATCAGGTAGTAACATCACCATTCTTATAAATGGTGAGGTAGAAGCCTGGAGAGATAAGTGGTGGAACTAGGATTTGAACCTAGCTCTGTTAAACTCTAGAACCTGAGCTCTTAGCCATGGGAATAAACTGCCTCTTCACTCACTGGAAGACTCATGTCCAAGTGCTGGCTGACTGTAAGCAGCCCAGGTGTCTCCCATAGCCACATGGGTAGCTCCTGCCTGGACTCAGGGATGCAGCCTCTAGGCACTGCAAAATATGACAAGTTCCATTGGCCAGGAAGACCACAGAAACTATGACTTAGAACATAAATGTTGGCTAAGTACGTTTCTAGCTTTGGGACTTCAGAGAAGGCCCTTAAAGTTCTGGGGCCTCAGCTTCTATATCTCAAACATCGAGGCGACACAGCCTACATCACGGCATTGTCGGGAACATTTAGGCAGAACAAGAGAAACTCATGTCACACTCTTGCGTGTAATAAGCACTCAGTAAGTGTTAAATGAATGTAATTTCCCTTCTATTCATTCCCAATATAAAAATCCTAATCTCACCTAAACTCTAATCCTTGACAGAGAAAGCCTACCTACAAAAGTCCCCAAGAACAGGGAGTTCAATGCCAATTTGATTGTTTTATCCAGAGCTAAAGTGAGTCTACAAGAACTAGGCAGCAGGCTTGAGAAAGAGTGCTGTTACCACCGCAGGAAGGATTTAGGAACAGACTCAGAGAATCTTCAGAAAGAGAATCCTCCAGTGTGTGCCAGAGTCATGTACATGAAACCCTCATTGCGGCCACAGCTGAACACTGTGAACAGAAGTGCAAGCCTGGAGAAAGTTTCTCTGGGCTCATGGTGGGGGTGTCCTGCTACTGCAGGAATTGGTGAGACTCTGGTGATGAGGAGAAGGTTTCTGGGAAGGTAGAAAAGTGGTTTAGGCCCAGAGCCAGGCACTTATTTGCCAGCATGGCTGGTAATCTGGAGGCAGTGCTGGAAGACCCAGAGCCTGGCGCTGGGGGGAAAGGAGGCCATCTCTTCTGGATCCAGAAGGTGAGGGGACTCTTCCCATTCACAACTGTCACCCACCACAGCCTTCTCCTCTATGCAGATCAAACCAGCGGCCTTCAGTAGTGACCATAAATGACTCCTTTGTTCAGGAAGCTGAGAGCATCCAGAAACGCAAGCTTTCTCAGAAACGGAGGACACCGGTGAGTGGTAATGTGCTGTTGGAACCCCAGATGTCAGCCTCTGGACTATCTGCAGTCCAAAAGTACCACTCACCTAAAACATACCCACCAGAGCTGCCTTTCTGTGGTCAGAAAGTATGGCTCACAGAGGCCAAGTCCACTAGCCTCTGGTGTGTGTGTGTGCACACCAGCCCCACTTCTTCTAAGAAGCCCTCCCAGATCTCCCAGGAAGAAAGGGACTCAGCCCCCTTCCCACAGGCACCTTCTCCCTGCAGCTCAGCATTCTGGTGTGTACCTCATTTCTTCATCCAGCCTGCCAGCAGCTCAGCATTCTGGCATGTAAATCATTTCTTCATCCGGCCTGCCGGGTGCCAGGCACTGTGTCAGGTGCTGAGATGTTCACACCAGATCCGCCAAGGACTTTCAGGGCTGTGACTGTATCTTTTTGCCTTTGTGGCCCCAGGCCCTGACAGGGTACTTGAGTAACTGGCATAGGTTGAGAGCCTGTGGGTGGGTGTGTGAAGGCAATAGTAAAGGGATGCTTTCCCATCACGTTCTTGGTGCTGGGTTGGAAATAGACACTCTTTACCAGCCTCAGGAAAGGTCCTTCCTCCATTCCTGTTCTTTAAAGTTTTTATATAAAAATGAATGCTTTTGTATTAAGCACCTTTTGGTCTTTTGTTGATTCTTTTTAATCAGCAAACAGCCATTCCCTAAATCTCACAGACAACAAAACACACTTGAGTAAATTTTTAATACCAGCTCACAGTGGAGCACCATGGGTTGTGGTGGTTTTCCCTGTGTGACTGTGCCCTCTGTGGAGGATTTGGGGACACGCAGGGCACACACTTTGTGAGGCTGGGGACTCCCAACACAGGGACCCCAACTCCAGGGAGGGAAAGAGAGACAATGTGGACTCTTCGTGAAGACCCACTGACTTGGGGTGATCGCTTACCCACTCCCCACCGCCTCAGGTGAACCTACCTACCAGGTGAACCTATGGCTGGGCCTTCCCTTTACTTTCTTCTGCAAGGCGGGACCCAGGGGGCACTGTTCCACCCGTTGTCCTTCCAGGGCCGCCCTTCAGGGGACAGAAGAGAGAGAGCATCGAGTGCCCTGGAACACTGTGCTCCAGCCACCTGCTAGCTTCCCTAGCCTTCTCTGAGCCTTCCCTAGCTCTTAATAACTGGGCTAACGAGCAGCATTAACCACTGGTTCTCGAGTTTCTGCTCGCCTCCACGATCAAAGTAGAGCAACCACGTAAACTCTGGGCAAAAATGGCAGACAGAACGTGAGGATTGGCCTTTTGACACTCTGAAAAACATCATTAATTCGCCAGGGTTAGGTGCTTCTTTGACAATTTCCCAGGCGTCTTCCATGGTTACTTTTATAAAAATCACATCAATTTTGATAGTCTTTCAAAAAATTTTATCCACTTTGATTTTTAACAGTTTGACTTCTTTCATTTTTCCGATTTGTATATTGGTACCCTTATTTCCTGTTTATTATTTTCTTGCTCTCCTTTAGATTGATTGTTCTTTTCCTTTTCAAGCAACCAGGGGTACAGTTCCTTAAGACTTTGCTTCTCAGTATTGAAAGTATTTTAAGTGATTGAAATAAATGCCTTGTAAGTGCTGTTCAGGCCATGTCCCAAACATTTTGAACATATAACATTGTTTCTATACATATTGTATTTTAAATAATCAGTGGATCGGGGATAATATGGGTTTATTATCAGTTCCTATTTTCATTGCATTTACCAGGAAATGCAAGGTATTTGTTGGTTTTAAAATGTGTTAAGACCTTATATGTGACCTACAATTAGTTTTTTGTATATGTTAAAAGACTGTTCTTATTGAATCCTGATCAGAAGGGGGAAAATGCAGAACCAAATTTCAAATTCTCATGGAATCCAAATTCCCCAGAGACATGGGGGCTGGATGAACCCCTGAAACTATTGCCCTGAGATAATCTTTAAATCTTAAACCAAAAATATGCCCTGATGGAGGCCCCATGGACAGATCCAAACTCCCCGAGGGACTGAGTTGCTGGACGGAGGGCTCTGGGGACCATGGTCTCGGGGAACATCTAGCTC